CAAGGCAACCTGCGAGCTCCGTTACCAGAGCACCCTCCAAGAATGGTGCCCGGCTTTCTTTGGACTGTGAGTGAGCCTCAAGTTGGATGTTGCTGAGAGTCTACACTCAAAAGGGTGGCTTTCAGCAAAGGAAAACAAATAGAAAATAGGCTTTTCCTGGTTCTTGGTTCTCCTGAGTAGATGGTAACGATTGTGACAAATTGTTGTGTTTACTTTGTGGGATTCACAAAGACCCAAGGAGAAAGGCCTGAGACCGCAAAACTCATTTTCTTCAAGTCAAATTCAAAGCCCCGTCCCGTCCCTGGGGCTAAAAAGGGAACACAGGCTCGTAGAGTAAGGTCAGTGATTAGGAGGCCCTGCTGCTCTTGCTGAGGGCCCGGGCACCTAGGAGCGGCATCCACCCACATGGCAGCTCACAGATATCTTTATCTCCAGTCCTGGGGGATCCGAAGCCATCTTCTGACCATTTTGGACACAAGGGATGCAGGTGGTGCATATACATACATACACGCAGGCAAAACACTCAAACATAATTCGAAGAAATGCGAATACGTTAATCTGTTCTATTTTAAATGAATGCATGAAACCCCTTTAAAGGTATATACGGAAATATTCAGATTTGTGCTAAAATATTTTGACTGCTGGGAATCGGAATCTCTTTATAAATAATACAGTGCTTTAATTATTTACTTTAGGTGTTAGCCTGTTACAACCAAACGTTAAAAAAAAGATGCACTAACTTATCTGTTAGTGGCAATTTATGTTAATACGAAGATATTTGGGAATATTTGGATACAATATTTCTGTTGGTGTTTTGGGGAGAGGCCGTATGGAAAGTTGACAAATGAACTTGCGATTAAAGAGTCACGCTTTCTGACTGCTCACTACTGAGTCACTTGTACTTCTGGACTCTGTGTGTAAATGAAGGAGGCAGGGCAGGCTTGGACTAGAAGAATCAGAAATACAACTGAAGATGACGACAGGAAGCCATGGCAGTGCTCAGATATCCACCCATTCCCAGGGCCTTCTACTGGCCTCTGGGCCTGCCTTGTGGTGGCCGAATCTTAATTCCATTTGGTGACAACAACTGGACAGGGCGGTCTGCTGCAAGTTTTCTTTTTGATTTTCCTTTATGTGTATGGGCATGTTTTTCTTTGTGTGTGCCTCTGGCAAGCGAATGCAGGTAGCTAGAGTCCAGAAGAGGGTGTTGGATCCCCTAGATTTAAAGGTACTAGTGTGTCACCCAGTATAGATGCCGGGAACCAAACTTGGGTCCTCTGGAAGAGCAGGGCAGCCAATGTTCTTAACCACTGAGCCATCCCTCTAGTCCTCCTTCCCGCCGCAGGTTTTTCAGCTCCACGTTTGTCCTTGTGTAACGTTTTATTAAATACTGAACTGTCCAAGCAGAATCTGATTAGGAAGTCAGGGGTGGATGACCAGCTGTCCTTGACAATTATAAAACCCAAACGGCTCTTGATTTCAAGAAGAGGAAAAGATATCGTCCACCCGGTTTTATTTCATCAGGAAAAATAAACTAAAGTAAAACAAAACCAGAACACTGCTGTGGAAGAAGAAAGTGAAAGCGCTCTTCCAAGCATCCAAGCAGCTCCGTGTGCTATGTGATCACCATAAAGATGGAATTGAAACTCCACACCACAGTGTGAAATTGATCTGATCTGTCCCTATCCCACAAGTAAAGATGCCTTTTCATGTTCACCCTCTACAGGCTAATAGCAGCATTTCTTATCAACAACTGAAAAAACATTACAGACGAAAGAATTTCTAAACTAATTTGGGCACGATGACTTAGCACGGGAAACCGCCAAGCTTTAATTCTCTTCCCCCCCTTTCTCCGCCAAGTAGAGTCAAAACACTTAGGCATCCTCTCACGCTGGGGGACCTGAGTTCTCTGAGGACTATGCTGGTGGGTGGCTTGCAGGCTGGTAAGCTCATGTCCTTTCATGAAAGTTATGGCTCAGTTTGTCCCAAAACATGGTGTGTGTGTGTGTGTGTGTGTGTGTGTGTGTACATGCTCATGTGCATCTGAGTGTGGCAGTGACTCAGGTTTGCTTTCTAGCTCTTGCACCTGTGAGAGTGCACATATGATCTGACACACTGCTCTGATAATACATTTGGCAACTATACCTACTAATTTGTAAGTAGATTTGAACAATCCCTTCTGGAGGGCAGTTGGGAAGCTCAGACTGAAACCACTAATTCAGAGTGACTCTAGTTGTCAGCCATCGTACAGTCAAGGCTTGACCAAGAGTTCCAGAACCCTGGCTAAAAGTGAAAATTTTGAGCCAGTACAGAAATGACTTCATAGACTTCACTGGTAGTGAGACTTCGTGAAGAACAGATGTCAAGAGGATTTAAGAGGAGCTGAAATTTAATGTCTTTAAAAAAAGAGAAAACTATGAAGCACATTAGGATGGTTCCATTTTCAAGGAAAATTTGATGGACTGTAAGGAAGAAATCATTTAGGTGATGGCTATTAGAGAAAGAACTGATTGATTTTCTTTTCTTGCACGCATTGTGGGCCCTGTAGAGACACTAAGACCGGAAACATTAAGGGCTATCTGTCAAGTTGGGTGTGTTCCAGCGGCACAGAGGATTTCCACACTCACACAGTTCAAAGGGTTAAATTTCTCTGGACACTCGCTGTCTCGGTGCTGTTCCTTCCAACTTGTCACAGGGATATTTTATTCTGGAAGTATCATCTTACCCTACCCCAAACATTCCGACAGCATTTGACCTAAATCTTTCTGTTAAGGACTTTACGAGCTTTGAGTTTTTCTACAGGTACTTCATGCCTGATGTCTTCCAGGGCGTCCAAACCTGCAAGCCCCAGGCCTCACACAGCCCAAGGTGGCTATAAATGAGCCCCAATACAAAACCACAAACGTACCTAAAACACTAGGATAATAACTTGATTAAATTGCAAGGTTTGTGAGCATGAACTTTGTAGATGACAGTGCTGTGTGCCGGTGTCAGAAGGTTGGACACCCCAGATTGATCTTCAAGGTTAGAGATAATCTGCTATTCTGGCTACATCCTTTAAGGTTGACAGAGATGAAATTCTACAAGGTTTTGCGGAAAGGTCTACCTGGTTAAATTTCCTGCCATTAAAGTATTATTTTCCCCCTCTCCAGTCACCATTCTTATGCTTGTTCCCTAAATTCCTCCATGAATTTCTAAAAACACCTGTAAATGATCTTCAGTGATGGCAATAACATGTAGATGTTATAGAATATGTCTTATAGAATAACAGTGTCTGTGGTCTCTACCATCCGTTATCTCATCGGTTGAGGTATTCTCTTCTTATCTAATGGAGCTGAACTGGGTCCTTTCGTCTGCTTGTCTGAGAGCCAATTCACAATGCAAGCTGTAGCTTTCTGTGTATTGCTAGATGGCCAGGAGTCCACACCCCAAACCACCACAAACAGTAGGGCACAATCAGCAGCCCCTGCTTGGGAGAGGCCCAGGACGGAGCTAGCAGAAAGACTGGATTACTTACCACCTCTAGAGTGGGTCCCTCCAGGCCAGGGACGAGCTCATGGGCAAGGCTGTGCAAGGAAGCTCTCTGTACCATGCCTGCCCTGCGGATATACAGAGGACTTCAGTGGCCTTCGCTGTCAATCTCTCAGTCAGCATGAGCTCAATTATGCACCGACAACAGCAAGAACAACAAGAACAACGACAGAACAACCCCAAAAAACTAAGGATCACAGACTACCCTGATTGAGGGGGACGGGGACAGCGACTGCCAATGTGGAGGTGCCATCCTGACCATACATCGTCTAGCTTGGGCTGGACCTTTCATGGTACTTCAAACAAGCGTTCCATGGAGACCCATGGGAGCCACATGGAGGATTTGCAAGACTGGACCCTAAATGTCAGGCAGCTTCTCATTGTAAGGTATTTCTTTTACTTTTAAAAATAAACATTTTAATTTCTTATATGTCTCTTTTCTATAAATACAGAAAGACAGACAGACAAATCCAAGAGCAGATTTTGAGAGTCATCTGAGGCACAAGCGAAACTATTTTGATGTTACATAGATATTGCTTCCCCCACCACCAAATGATATACGTGAAATTAAAAAAAAATGTAAAAAGTTGCATGAAGAAAAATGTGGGGCTAGATCCTTGTCCTTCCTCTGTCGTGCCAAAAATAGCTCCAATGCTCGCCTTAGGAAGATGCCCGAACACATCTCATAGGTAGCACGTATCTCTGGCCTAAAATACTCATCAGATTCTGAAGACTCCATTCATTCAAGGCCTAAGTAATACGCTGGTCAATGACAGTGAAGGTTGACTGTTTGCATCAGTGACACAGTGTTTCATCCTGAAGTTCAAGGTTCAGCCAAACATCACTGCTCCGACTGCAGATCACAGCACCTTACACTGATGTGCGTTGGTCTAGGGTGGAGTTTGAGTGAGGCAATGGACGAAGGCGATTGACCCTGAGAAGTGGGATGAATTCAGAGCACAGACCCAGCACACAGTTCCACACCAAACCATCAACGCCAGTTACCAGGGCCCCCACGAGCCATGCCGTGGTTGTTCGACAGCGCCTCTATCCCCCTCAGTATCTCTGCTCTCCACAGACATAAGAACAAAACAACCTCATCTGTGAGCTAGTGGGAAGGAGAAGGAGAGAGAAGCTTAAAAGAAATCAGGGTTTTCTAGAAACTCTTCTAAGAAGGATCCAGAATAAGAGGTGAGCAGTAAGTAATTGATCCTCCTGGCTAGGTTTTGTGGCGTCTCTAAAGATTCGTGGCTCAGAAAACCAGAATTCATCAGCTTATGCCTGACCTCTCTCATCAACACACAGTACAAACAGGTGGAGATGTGCCAAACCCGACCACTACAGGTTGAAAGTATGACCACTATTGACCATGGAAACATTGGCTTATGTTCGAAGGGCCACAGCAGCCAGACATATGCGGATTCCAACTCTTCAGAAAACTTGGGACAGAAACAAAATGCACTACTTACATGTGTGTGTCTTCTTCGTCACTGAGATACCTGAAAGAGATGAGACAGAGACAAAGGTCAAGAAAGGGTCCTGCGAGGGTCTCTGTTGTCACACATCATGCAGTGTGTGCTTGAAACATGTCACCTTTGGCTGGTGACAGAGAGCTGGGATTGGTCACAAGACATGCCCCAAAGCCTTGAACTGTAAGCGGCAGGGACCCTGAGCTCACCCACTCTCTTATTAACTAACCACATGGCTAACAGCCCAGTCAGCACAGCGCTTGCCTTTCAAACATAAGGGCTCAGCCCCCCCCAGACTCCATCTTTAAAAATAGTTAGGCATGTTGAAGCGTGGCTTCAATCCCTTTGCTGAGGAGGTAGAAGAAAGCATACCACGTTCCTGGAGCTCACTAGGCAGCCAAGCCTAACTGGTGAACTCCCCGCCAGTGCGTGCGTGACTCTGTCTTCAAAACAAAAGTGGATGGCCCGAAACTCTACCTGAGGTTGACCTCTGACCTCTACACACATGTGCATATACACGGACCTGTACAGACACATGCACCCTTACTCACATATGCATGCATGCACACATAAAGCCTTATTGTTAAAATGGGAGGGATCATGCTAATAGGCTGGCAGAAGACACAGAAGAGCAAGGACAAACCACTCTGACAAGGGCTGTAGAGTGATTAATTTGGCAGAGGCATTGATTCTGAATTTCCTTTGTAATGAATGTGTTCCTTCCTGTTCACTCAAAGCAGAGCTTTTTATGAAGAAAACACACACACACACACACACACACACACACACACACACACACACGTCACGTATGTGTCATTCCCATAGGGGAACGACGGTTAACACTACAGAGAGCTCCGATATGTTTGGTGGGAGCATGGAGGATGCATGAGTCAGCACCCTACCCTGGATGTTCCCAAGATGATTAATGGGTGACAGGTGACAAGTAGGAGTAAGTATCAGCTGGTGAGTGGCACCTGACAGAGTGGACGGCCGTAAGCTTCGATGCAAGTGGTCCTAACTCTGCTTCAGAGCTTCAAAGCTTTGAACATCTCATGCCTCATTCTTAGGACACATTCTCAGGGCTAAACAGGCTCAAACCAATCAAACTGTTGAAAACATTTAACTCGTGACTAAGAACAGTGGTAAACCTTGATTTTTTTTTCCTTCCAACTTATTAAGAGAACTGTTTAACCCTCCTCTGGAAAGTAAAAGTCTCTGGAAAATTTGGCACCCTGCATCAGGCGTATTACTTAACTATGGAACACATCGTTCGGGAAGGAGATCTGTTATGAAAACCCTTGGTAGACATTAAGGGGGAAAAAAGTTTCAAAGTTGTGAGCCAAGACCAAAATCACACACTTGCTTCTCCAAAGTTTTCCGAAGGCCTTATTTAAGGAAGCTGAAATTACATAGCCCCGCTCAAATCTGTGCCCCTGCCCCCTTTATTGAGGAAAACTAGACTATTGTTTTTCATTGTGTTTACTTTGGCTTTGCAAAGTGAAGTGAGAACCTTCTCTGAAGACCTCTGAAGGCTCTCCAAGGAGCTGAAAAAGTGTTCTACAAGTTTCAGAAGGCCCATTTATCCCAGGAAAGCCCCTTTCCCCCCTATCAGCAGCAGTGAGCAGATCTTAAAATCCAAATACGATCTGTGACTCTAGCTCGTGACACCAGCACCAATAAATTGATACATTAGTGCCTTTTCAGCATTACCGGAGACGAGAGCGTACTTTCCTTAGGAGATGGCGCCTTCTGTAAAATCACTTTGAAGGGAAAGTGCTTAGCCTGCCACTCCTGATTATTCAGCCCCTGACACACAATTGGATTGAACGCAACCCCAGACAGACCCATCTATATTCGCTGAGTGTGGAACTATTTTTTTCCTGACACTCGAAGGCCCTGATGAAAATCCCACCGCTTTGGGTTTTCTACTTAAAGTTATTATTCAGCGTGGTACCGTGTTTTCATCAAATTTTTTTCATGATGATTACACTCGTAATAGATTTCGAGTCTCTTTCCAGGAAAGCTGCCTGATCTGGGAGGTTATAGTAGCAGGCCAGGAGCAGAAACTTATCTGTCTCTTGAGAGAACGCACGTCTTCACCTTCAGAACGGCTCAAACCCTTGGTCTTGTAGTTTTGTGATGCCACCAGTTAGCATACTATATTGTCAAATGGAGGGTATGCCACTCTTGGGGCTGCTAAGGGCAGCACAGGAAATACAGAACGCTAGGTTGTGCTTGAACTTTCACTATTAACTCGCTTCTCTCTCATTTATATTTTACTGAGCATTGTATGCTCTGTCTGGCAACTCCCGTCTATATAAATATAATCCTAAATTAATATTGTCATTTACCACGAAGACATGTTAACCAATCAAATGGAGAAGAGCATGAGACACACTCCCTCTCAAAAACACTAGGTTTTCTTCATTTTTTTTTTTTTTTTTTAGGGCCTGAGTCATATTTACGGCACTCTAACTGGGGATATCACACTTTTTGTTTTTACCAAGGAACTATTTTTGAAGACAGAATTCTGTTCCCCTAGAAAGTGCGAGCAAGGGCAATGGTGTACATGCACGAACGATAAATTCAGTGGGGTAATTAGAGAGTTTATGACACTCCCTTTGTCCTCCCCATCTGAAAAAAAAATAATCACCTTGATGCTGCAGACAGCTTAAATCTGTCCCCATTCTTTCTCTACGGGACTTGTGATGCTTTGTATTTGAGACTCAGATGATCTCTGTATTTCACAGACAGAGAAACCAAAGCCCAGGGAAACTTAATTAGCATATTTAAAGTTTCTCTACGGAAGTGAATGCTTGATGGGAAATAGTGCCCAAGGCAAGTCTTTAAGGCCCCTGGTGTAGATAGTACCTCTAAAAAGCTAAGAAGGGGTCTAATCCCTCAAATATGCCTCTTAGAAGTGAGCTGTGTAAATAATTTAAGCCCATGGAAAGAGTATTTAAGCCCTGTCCCCAGCCCATAGCATATTCAAACCAAGCATCAGTTCAGGTTTGGGGGAGAGAGTCAAACACATAAAGCATCTTCATTCCCACCAACAAGAAGACAAACTTAGAATATTCTAGAAAAAAGGGAACATTCCGCAGGGACTGCACCTGCCCTTATTGCCCTTGTGTGTGGCTGACAGAGGGCCTGGGGATCCTGCCTTTGTCAGTCTTAGCCCTTTTCTCAGTCCTCCGTGGTGGAAAGAAAGTCTCTTCTTTCTCTCTCAATCTGTTTGCAAAGATTTAGGTTCTTCCTCACTCAGAACAGAGCTCACTCTAGGCCGATACACAGCAGTCCAACAGGGCTGATCCCTTCCCTCAGGGAAAGACCTTCAAGGGGAAGCAATTCTTACCGAAATCTAGAGTGGGAAGCAGCAGAAAGCTGAAAGAATCCTGGAAGAATTAAGCTTCCCAAAGGAAGATCATGTTTAGTGTTGAGAAGGCAAAGAAGGAATTTTTCTCAAGAACAGAAGAATAAGTTCCTTCAAAGGCCTTCTTAAAAGAGCTGCTCTGAGCTCTCCCACGTTCCTGACTTTTGGCTGAGAGACCTCAGGCAAGTTGCTAAACCTTGCTGGACCTGAATTTCTCCATCAGGATCGCAGATGCTCTTCGTAATATTCAAAACACCGCTGTGACGATTCAAGCAAAACCAGAGCTCTGGTAAACTGTGGAGTCTGATATTAAACGTCAAATGTTAACTGTTTATTTTGGTAAAGAATAAATAATCCCACATATTATTACACCTTTATACACTTTTATTTTATGTGTATGGATGTTTTTTCCTGAATATATGCCTGTGCACCATATGCATGTATGACTGTAGAGGCCAAAAAAAAAAAAAAAAAAAAGCTGTTAGACCCTAGACTTAGAGGTACAGATGGTTGTGAGCTGCCATGTAGGTGCTGGGAATTGAACCTCCAGGGCCCTCTGGAAGAGCAGTCAAAGTTCTTAACCCCAGAGCCACCTCTCCATTTCTACATGTGGTATTATTTTCAACAAAACTGAATTATCACATGCTACCACAAGCTATGGCCCCTGCCTCCTTGTCATGCCTGGGCCTGACACTGACTCAGGGCCCATGACTTCCATCATTTGTGATGGAAAGAAAACCTAAAACAATGAAACTGCGTCAGGCAAGTGAACTTTCTGGGAGACCAAAGGCCTTGTTGGTTCTCTTCTCTGGTCAGCTGAGGGAAGCTACCCACGCACTGCTGAGGGGGATACGTGAAAGGTGATATGCACTGAAGGCTGACCAAGGGGACTGACTGCTCTGAGGAACTCTCTTGCAGGTGACTGAAATGAAGCCAAGGCCATTTCTCAGAGGCTCACCAACAGGCCCCGGCAAAAAATATTCACATGCCTGAATCTGGAGAGAACTAGATGGACAGCTGGTCGACTAACTGTTCAGTGTGTGGAGGGACTTAGTTTTCTCGACTACAATTTATGGTAGTTGAACTATCTGCATTTTTTTTTTTTTATTCTCTAACTTGTTCTTGCTCTCCCTGCCCTGCCTCTAAGCTACCACACCAAACCACCTCTTTCTAAGTAGCAGGCTGTCAGACCTGTTTTGAGAAGTCCAGAGGCACCCACAATCAAAGGCAACCCCCTGAAACATTCTCTTCTTGCCTTTTAAGGGCCAAAGACGAAAGAAGGCCATGTTTGCAGGAGGGGACATCCGTGAGAGGGGCGCCTCTCCTGGGGCGTCTTTTAAAGTCATCTGTGCTGGAGAGGGGGGACGACTAGGAAGTTCCCAGACTCCTTACAGTCTAGTTTTCCTAGACTCATGTGTGTGTGTGTGTGTGTGTGTGTGTGTGTGAGAGAGAGAGAGAGAGAGAGAGAGAGAGAGAGAGAGAGAGAGAGAGGCAGATGACACGGAGGTTTCCTATTTGTTGTTTTTGTGGCAGGGTATCTCACTGTCCCTGTACTCACCTAGCATGCTTGGCTGACTGGCCAGTGATCTCCAGAGACCTGTCCTCCTATCCCGACTCCCCAGTGATGGGTTAGAAGCAGGATCCTTGC